TAGCGGGGAACACAGCCTCCGGGGTCAGCGTCAGGACCTCGTAAAAAAAAAAATGATAGAACACACGTCGGACTCCCTCCAGTCGTAAAAAAATAGGGTGAGATAATACGTCACTGAATGTCAGAAAAGAGGCCGCTTTCTGTTTTAAATGAGTTCCAGGTTGTGGCAACCCCATCAACACCATCCTTGGGGACAAGGTGGCTCAGACTTCGTGAACTGGCAGACCTTGTGCATGTCAGGTTAATCGTAGTTGAACCCAGAGCTCTGTTACTTTTGTACAATATACTGGTGTTAAGAATAAAGCTGATTATTGAGTAAACTAAATCTTCTCCTATTGCTTCATTAAACGAACACGCGAGGAATGAGTTTTTGAAATACAGAGATTCCTCAACAACTTCCAGGGAAAGTATGCTCTACTTACTCACTAATTTCAGGAAAGCATTCTCTACTGGTAGAGTAAGGACACCTCCTGAAGAGTGATCCAACCAACATGTATGAAACCCTCACATTGCTGTTCTTAGCCATGTGGTTTCTGTGTAATTAAATAATAAAAATATTTAATAAGTCTCTGAATGACTCATTATTGTGCATTTAAAGATGTATATTATTACATTACAGCATTATTTGTGTTTTGTCCTGGGATGACAATACAAGACTTCCATGAATGTGCATTTGAGAGAGACTTTGCTTTGTATTCCAGCCGGCCTGTTATGAGCAAATTTCTATAGGCTACTATAGATCCATTTCAAAACATGTTCCAAGTAGGCAATAGGACAAAGCATAATGCATCCTGGAATGAGTGAAGCTTGCCTGCTGACATGTTAAAATGACTGTCACAACTGCCATGAGCAAAGAGCAAAACCATTTGGCTACAGTAGCCTATTCAATATGACACTGTACAGAGCAGACATTATGATTTCCTTGTACAGCACCTTAAAAAACTCACTGTAGCCCATATTCATAGGCACACCCAGCCTCGCTTTCAATATAACACACACTCGCATTCTGTAATCACGTCAGTAAATAATAATATGAAAACAATATAAAATATCTTTCAACAAGAAAAAATAATTTGTTTACTGTAAATGGATAAAGGTCAACAGATGCGCAATGTTCAGCTGTCATGTAATAACTGCGCCACCTTGTGGCTAAACATCAACTGCACTGAAGTCATCATAACTTCATAAGTTCTCATTTTCAAATGATTAAGAATACTATTATTGTTATTTGAAGCCGTGTCAGTCTTGACTGTGGGTGATGGGGTCCTCTGTGTCTGCTAGTGTCTATAATACAGTAATATTTTTGTTGACATTATCAAACGGAAGAACTTTGATTTTGAAGAGCACAGGGCAACGAAGCCACTAAAAGAGGAAAAAAAGGAAAATTTTTTTTTTTAAAAAAAAAAAAAAAAAAAAAAAAGAAATTTTTTTTTTTTTTTTTAAAAAAAAAAAAATAAAAAAAAAAAAAAAAAAAAAAAAAAATAAAAAAAAAAAAAAAAAAAATAATTAAAAAAAAAAAAAAAAAAAAAAAAAAAAGACACAGGTAAGTCTCATTCTTACCGCGTTAATTAATACTTTAAGTCGTGTTTCCAAGTTCAGTTAAATATGAAGCTAAAGTTAAATAGTTTCTGTGCTAACAGAGAGGAACACAATGTTGAGGATTCCAACTAACAGTTACTCCAGGGATATTTCAGACCATTGTTAAGATGTTTCCCACATAAACTGAATATTTTATACAGTGCTTTTACTTTTTAACATTTATTGTAAAGGCTCGTGTGCTTACTGTAAAGCTGTACAGCACGTGACAGAAAACGCACAGGAACTCTAATACTTTTTAATAGTCCTGTAAAATGTCAGGGAGAAATAAGCTTAAAGATTAAACTGAGGTCACAGGACCCCCAGTGCAGCCCGCTACACCCCCATAATGAAACTAAAAGTCTCATATATATTATATATATATATATAATATATATTCAGCTAACTGTTAGACTGCCTGTAATTTGATAAAAGCACTTTTTAAAACCTTCACACTGTCAAAATAAAACTATTCTAGGGGGAAATGCTGCAGCAATATGTGATATGATAAGTGTTTCTCTCTTTTGTGTATATAATATAATAATAAATATCCTTATTAACTCTATTCATCTGTTACTTAGATCATCATGCATTAAAGCTGCATTAGGTAGTCACAATCAGGAGCCTCTGGCTTCTCCTAGTGCTCCTAATGGCATTTGTAAAAATCCAACAGATCTGAACAAAAACACCCATGCAGACAAAATGTATAGCTGTCAGATAAAAAGCATCATTATTTGTGTTACTAATAAAGCAAACACAATCCAGGGAAACGCAGATGAAAATTTGTTCTAAAAAGTAATAATGGCCATTATAAAAAGATATAATATAAAAAGTATTATGAGAATTGTTGCGTTGAACATTTCCCACAAATCCATTTTTAGGACTATATTGCCATTTGAATTCACATTAATAGGAATATGTCTGTGCGTTTTGGTTGCTTGACATTTAACACACCTACCATTAGATTTATAGATTTTCCGTGAATAGGATAGCTTCAAATGGGGGAAAATATATAGCTGCTAGTGGCCTTTTAGAAACAAAGTCGGAAAATCACCAAGCTGGCAACACAGTGTGGCACAACCAAGTCAGGGAAGTAACACACTTAATGTTTTCCTGAATAAATGTAAATTCAATTAAAATAAATAGAAAATAACAAGAGAAAATGCTCAAAAAAAGGCAGACTTATTCGACATATTTTCTATCATATATTACTGGGAACAAATTGGTACTTTTTTACTTCCAGTGTTGCATGCATGGTTATGCCCTAGGTTGTAGTCCAGTACCTCATTCATGGTGGAGAAATCACATTCACAGTTCAAAGATGAATCAAGTCCCTTTATTACTTGCAGCATGGAGAGAAGACCGCAGCATGAATGTTCGCTCCCAGACTTTCAGAATGATCTACCGTATATACCATCCAGTATCTTCAAGATCACCTGGATACGTCCTAACAGTATCACTTGTAACTCACATGTGAACATCCTTAACACAATGGTGACTTATTAACAGATTCTTAGCAGACTTTTCCCTACCATAAAAAAAATACTTAACCGAACTTAATACATGATAGCAAATACTAGTGCTGATACCGTGCTAAAAAAAGGTTAGACATATAGACATCAATCTATATAGATAAAGATAAGTCAGTAGTGTTGTACTAGGAGAAACTGCAGTGACAGTTAAGTTTCCACAGTTCAGCCCCCTCTTAGTTTGTTGAAGTTTTCATGCGAGGCAGCCTGATTTTAATTGATTTAAATTCAATTCTAAAAATGTTTCTCAAGAGTCATTGAGGTTTCCCTCATTAACAATAATGTTAAGAAACAGAGAAATATGCTAAAAACAATTTTGTTCAAACAAATGGTGAAAGGATTTGAGATCATCGTCTTAAATTTAGAGAGTCAATCTTGGGAATGGGTTGTAGATAATTCCATGCGACTGGTGCACAAAGGCTAAAGGCAGAAGTTCAGAATGAACCCGTGGGACTTTTATTGCTCTATTTATTGAGAGTTTAACAGTAATCTCTTTATCAGGACTGTGCCGGTGAGGTTGTCCTGGCAACAGAAGGAAACAACAACGCAACTTTAAATATCTTCATATGTACACAGGGTTGTCCACATATCTTTATTTAAATACTGAAGCCTAAACGTCACTGTAGCAGTATGCTATAGTCAACCTATAAATTTGCTTAAGGTTGAGTTCCTAATCTCTCTTAAACTATTTAAGGGAGACTGTTACAACCTCAGATGTAAAATCCAGGGGTGAGACAATTAATAAATAACCCAGGATAAAAGAAAGATGGAAAAACAGAATTATATGTACCAACCAAACTATTTATTAAACGTCTTAATCGCAAATGAAAAGTTCAAATTTCCAACAAAAATCTACTTCCTTAAAATAGAAAGTGAAAATAACTCTATTTTAACAATAAACATGAATTAAGCAAACAAACATTAATGTCACCCTTCCTCCACTGAGAGAGTACTGGAATAACACACACTGTTTTGCGGTTTGGTCCACTGGCCTCGTCTGCTTCTGTTGTCCTTGTTTTAAGGCCGTTTGGACTGATTGATGAACTATTGCAGGTGCCTGACCAGTCGGAGGGAAGGGCAGTACCTGGAACAGGGCACACAGAACAGGGCAGAGAACCACACTATACTCGAAACAGAGACTAAACACCATTCCTGTGTAATGGTATCAATAGTGCACCATATGTGCATAATGTTGACTGTGTGTTCTTTCAATAGAATTGAATTTAAGATAATGTTAATCTGACACTGAGTGAAATGTTCTATCCATAAAGGACTTGTTGCACCATCACCATCATTTACTAGAGTGAAGCAGGGGAAACTGTGGCGTGCACCACTTCCTATCAAAAAATATTCCCTTTGTGGCCTTAGGTGTTTTTTGTCTCTCTGACTTTAGTCAGATTTATTTTTATTATTTACATTTTTATTGCATTTGTTTCTTGTCTACATCGTGTCATTGGTGTGACTTCACAAAAACAACAAAATCTCTAGCTGAAATTAATACTTTGGATTCTACAATTTTTCAATGAACTTTAGAGGTGTCTAGAACATGTAAGAGTGAATCTGTAGCAACACATTTTCAAAGTGAATTGACAATACTGAATCACCATTATCACCATGCTACCTACCCTAACCCTATGCATGGGTGGGTTGTTTACTAGTCATATATGGTTAAATTTGGTAGGCACTGACTGCTGTTTTGCTATGCACTGTATTTGTTGGTTTGTTCTGTCCTTCACCTTCCTATTGTTTGATAAAATGAACACTGCAGTCCACTGCAGTTCTTACAGGGTTTATGATTTTAGAAAGGATACATGCACTTACTGAGGGTGTGTGAGCAGCAGCAGCTGAAACATCTGAGGGAAATGTTACGAATCACTCATTTCTTCTGCTTGTCCAGGTTTCTCCGTAGACGTGTGCGAGCAGAAAGGAGTGGAACTGAGGCAACATGTGTGCCATGTGCAGCAATCATCAGCAGCCGTTTCAGCTAAAGACTTTCAGACAGTTTATGTACTGCAGTACTGTCATCACCATCCTCTCTCTCATGCTGCTCTATACCTACAAGTGGGTGAAATTACTATTCTGACCTACCGTAGAAACTGTTGACAGTACAGGTTTTAATATGCAGAGCAGTTCAATTCACTACAATGTAAATTTGGTTTTAAACAGAGAACAGGCATTAATTCTGATGTTATTCATTAATTTTCATTAGATGTGATGATGGTCTTTAGTGGAACCAAAATTTGTCAGTTGATCGATGATCGTCTTTTGACCAGTTTTAATACATTCAAATGATTATATGGGGACACATGTCCACCAGAAGAGGAGGCGTTACCCATGACCACTGAGAAAGATCTGCTACATAAATATGATAAAAAACATTTTAGGGCAGTGTCCCTGATGCCAACCCACATGCAGAACAATCATAGCCGTCAGCTGTAAGTAGAAGGTTGTTACTTACTTTGATAGGAGCAGATTCAGTGCTATGACACAATAATGGCTTTGTGCTCTGACACATATAAACTAGTATCACAAATATCAATGTTATCAAGAGTAAAACCGGGGGACAGGGCAATATCTAGGGTGTATCCCTTTACACGTGTGGGGCCCTCCAATGCCTGAGTGAAATTAAAGACTGCAAAATGTCTATAAAATCCGACAGGGCTATGGGATATAGAGCTGACATGCTTGGCATGGTAATGCTTGGGAAACCATCAATTCAGGCTAAAAGCAATGAAGTTGATTCCCGATCAGTATTCCTGTTCCTTCCCTGTCTGGATGCAACCAAAGGGAGTCAAAATGACTAATAAAACCAATTCCAGTGGCAGTAGTAACATTTTTCTTCCATATGTGTAGACCAAAAAGACGGCTAAAATGCTCAGAGCTCCTGGTCAAAGTGGGAGTGACCAGACAGGACACAACTCCTCCCCAGGCTTAGGTCAGAGGCTCAAGTTCGTCATGACGTCATTTGTGCCAGCGTGCACTATCACAGTGTTGACAGAGGAATGGATGTCAACAAGAGCTTGAGTCAGTTCAATAAAATCATGTCTTCCCCCCAGAAAGACGTATGTATGTAATTGCACCAGGTAGCTTTATGAATCAGATGATAGAGTCTCCAACAATTAAAATCTAAGGTTGATTGGGGTTTCATTTGTAAATCGGAAGCTTTGATCTCAGTTTCTGGCCAATCATTAGAGATCTAACTGAGTGCAGGTAAGTTGACTCATTAATTAATGAGAAGCTTGTGTGGGGGAAGACACAGCAACAGTAACAGGTGGCTGTGGTAGGAGAGAGGGAGAGGAGACCACTGGAGCTGAGACTGAGTGGAGCAGGTTGTCAGACTGAAGGAGTAACAGTTTGAACGTTTGTGCCCAGGTGGGCCTGATGTTCAGGTTGGTGAGCCTGTGGATGAGGTCAGGGTGGCAAGTTTAGATTAGATTAGATTCAACTTTATTGTCATTGCACAAAGTACTGCTTTTTGCACTTCTGGTCAGATGCCTAACTGCATTTCGTTGTCTTTGTACTTGTAAAGTGCAGAGTAATGTACATATGTACAGGGATATAAAGAAAAGTATAGATATATATATGAATATGCTAGCAAGATATATACAGTATGGACAGCATTAACAGAATGAATGGAGTGAAGTGAATAGAATACAAGCTGTATATACAGCAGGTAAAATAAGTATTGAACATGTCACCATTATTCTCAGTAAATATATTTCTAAAGATGCTATTGACATGAAATTTTCACCAGATGTCGGTAACAACCCATGCAGTCCACACATGCAAAATCAAACCATAGATGTCCATAAATGAAGTTATGTGTAATAATGTGAAATGACGCAGGGAAAAAGTATTGAACACATGGCGAAAAGGAGACGCAAAAAGGCATGGAAAGCCATGACACCAGCTGAAATCTATCAGTTATTAGAGAACAATCCTGCCACTTGTCAGTGCAAATTAATATCAGCTGATTCAGTCCCAACTGATGGCATATAAAAAGGTGTATCATCACCAAGGTGTCACACAAGAAACATCTCCTGATGGGTAAAACCAAAGTGCTCTCTCAAGACCTTCGCAAACCTTATTGTTGCAAAACATACTGATGGCATTGGTTACAGAAGGATTTCTAAACTTCTGAATGTTCCACTGAGCACTGTTGGGGCCATAATCCAGAAGTGGAAAGAACATAATTTCACCATAAACTGGCCATGACTAGGTGCTCCTTGCAAGATTTCTGACAGAGGAGTGATAAGAATTATCAGAAGAGTTGTCCAAGAGCCAAGGACCACTTGTGGAGAGCTTCAGGAAGACCTGGAATTAGCAGTACAATTGTTTCAAAGAAAACAATAAGTAATGCACTCAACCGCCATGGCCTGTATGCACACCCACCGCGCAAGACTCCATTGCTGAAGAAAAAGAATGTTGAAGCGCATTTAAAGTTTGCTGCACAACATTTAGACAAGCCTGTGAAATACTGGGAGAATATAGTCTGGTCAGATGAGACCAAAATTCAACTCTTTGGATGCCATAATACACAGCATGTTTGGAGGTCAAATGGCACTGCACATCAACCCAAAAACACCATACCAACAGTGAAGTTTGGAGGTGGGAACATGGTGTGGGGCTGTTTTTCAGCATACGACACTGGCAAACTTCATATAATTGAAGGAAGGATGAATGGAAAAATGTACCGCGACATTCTTGAAAAAAATCTGCTGCCATCTACCAGGATGATGAAGATGAAACGAGGGAGGACATTTGAGCAAGACAATGATCCCAAACACACAGCCAAGGAAACTCTCAATTGGTTTCAGAGAAAGAAAATAAAGCTGCAAGAATGGCCCAGCCAATCACCTGACTTGAATCCAATAGAAAATCTATGGAAAGAACTAAAGAGAGAAAGAGAGAGTTCATAGAAGAGTCCCATGGAAACTTGAAGATTTGAAGACTGTTTGTGCGGAAGCATGGGCCAAAATCACACCTGATCAATGCATGCGACTAGTTTCTCCATACAAGAGGCGTCTTGAAGCTGTCATTACCAACAAAGGCTTTTATACAAAGTATTAAATAAATTTCAGTAAGCGTGTTCAATACTTTTTCCCTGTGTCATTCCATTTTATTACATATAACTTTAATTTCTGAAATTATTTATTCTGGTTTCTTTGCATGTGTGGATTGCATGGGTTGTTACCAACATCTGGTGAAAATTTCATGACAATAGCACCTTGAGAAATATAGTTACTGAGAAAAATGGTGACGTGTTCAATACTTATTTTACCAGCTGTATATACAGCTTGTAAAGCAGCAGCAACAGTCGCAATTGCAAAAAGTAAAATTATGGTGTAATTATATAGTGTGGGTTAATTAAGTTAGGATATGTACAGTATGAACAGTATTAGCAGTATTTATATAGTGCAGATGTAAGTACAAGTATTAAATTGGTTGACATTATATACAGACAGTGGAATGCCATCACCGCCTATACCGAGGGGGTAGTAGAGGGGAAGAGAGTGCAACCCTAAACTAAGGATGCCCAGGAGGCTGGACACGGTGAATTGACTTCAATGGGAGAAGCTGCTCCATTGGAGGCCGAGGGCTGCTGGCTGCACACAGGCTCGAGACATGTCAGCCGTTTTTTTTTAAACGATGGAAACACACATTGATTTGCATTATCTTTGCGGATTTTATGGAAGTTTGTTTTACATCTACACCACATGAAAACCAATGAAATATCACACTATTTACTGCTTTGGACAAGAGAATGTTACTTCGGGCACGAGACATCTTTGTCACTGTAAACATGTATTGAATTCGCAGAAATGATTGATTATGATTTTGTTTCTAAATATGCTGAGTTGAATGCTCTCTTACCTTTTGAATTGTTCTTGGAACTTCAGTTCAAAATTCCTTGTCAAGTAAAATGTTGACATCAGCTAAATGATTTGCTGTGGATGGACAGGGTCGACAAGATCAAGTTCTACAAAGCAACCAGTGAGCCTCAGATCTTTGTGCAACCCACAGTGCCTCAACAATGTGGTCAAGGACAAATAGGTAAACTAATTGTTTTCTGAACGCTGCTTTTTAAGAAATGTAGAACAACATCTGTCCCAAAGAAATATTTCCTCTTCCTGTTCTTCTCAGCTGCTGTTTATTATTTAAATATCCTATTTCCTGTTCCTGAACTCCTCGTGATCATTCTTGATTCACCTTAATGCTATTATTGTCTTTCACTATTTCCATTTATTGAATCTACATTTCCTACTATATATTTACTTTTTTCACATTACACCCATCAGTACATTTCAAAATGAAATGAATGTTATGTGTTAATGTGTCTATTCCAATGTTTATCTTAATGTAGGATGTACAATGTACGGAAGCCCTGGGCCATATATTCATACATTTTATTTACTCCGTTTTTCCATGATAACGAGCTAATTTTCTCGAGATCTCGAGATAACGAAACTTTGTTTTCCCAAGCCAGCCGTTACTCCGATCTCTGTGGTCAAATCAGACGCACTTAAATTTTTTCATTCCATGGTTATACTCCCTTCTTTCAAAAAAAAAAGAAGTAGTCACACAACTGCAACTGGCAGGGTGGATGGATTTATAACAGGAAATTATTTTTCTTCCTTTCTGTCTCTCTGCGATAATGTTTTCACCAAGTTCATTTCTGAGATATAAGAAGTGTGTTTCCTACCTGTCTGATTGTCTGACTGTTCATGTGTCTTGCCCCATCTGATTTGCAGAGAAATAGGCAACTTAGTATCTTTTGTGGAAAGACAGACATTAATGTTAAGCACTTATGCACCAACTCGGTCTAACATTTTTCACTCATGCAGTTCCTCAGGGACAAAAGGTGGCAGTCAACAGGACAAAAACGCTGCTCATATCAGCTTATCAGGAGCACCGTACAGGCAGAAAGGAGGTCAGTGAAAAAAGCAGGGCACCAACTCCGCCAAGTTTCACTCCCTGTTCCTGTGCTCAGTGAATGCAACATAAGGCTACGTCATGATGACCAAATACCTTCAGAACTAATGGCATTCCCATCAGCCTCAACTGTATTTTGTGGTTATTGCTAATTAGGAAATTAGAATGCTAATACACTGAACAACAAATAAAAAATAATACTAATACTAATACCTGTTTAACGTGTTAGCATGCTGATGTTGTCATTTAACTCAAAACACTCACAGAGCCGCTAGCATGACTGTAGCCTCTTAGTCTTATCTTCTACACCTACAAAACCACACTAAATCCAGAAGCCCCATGGATCCATTGGCACTAAACCCCAGCAGTCACTGTATTTCACCGCAGTTTCCCTATGTTGTAGTGGAAGTAGTGAGTCATTTATGTAGTAAGACAAAAAGTAAGCCACCTGAAGTTGAGATGGTGGCAATGTGTTGCACATCTGACTTTTTGCAGCAGAGGTTGAATCCTGTCAGACTTTCAATTAATATTAATCTCTTTATGAACTATGATAATTTTTTAACCTTAACCAAGAATTATAGTTGACAGAAGTCAGTGCTGTGTGCAGGTCAGAGGTCTGTAGCGTTTATTTGATTAATATAATAGTTACAATAATCATATTTTCAATATAAACTTTATTTCACTAGTACAATAATTTGACTAATCGTCTTCCAGAGAAGGTTAATATAGTTCATTTGACAATAATACTACTGATACTGAAGATGCAGGGCATAGATCTGTGCTTTCTACTTAATTCATGTAATAATAACAATAATGATATTATTAATAGGGATATTCCAAATCAACTTTTGTTGGCCCCCAATCTGATTAATATTGAGTATCTGCTGATCCAAATCCGATACTTTTCAAAAATAATAAAGTTACACAGTGCTTTAACCCTAACTTTACCAAGATTCATCTGCCATAAGCACAATCTTTTCTTAACCTCAAGTAGTTTTCATGTGCAGATATTGTAAAAAGCAAAAACGCTGACATTGAACGTAATCCCAGATTCTGAGGAAGCATCCAATATTGATGTGTTTGTCTGGCAATAGGCTTGTTTTTCTCTAAAGATTGTTTTTAAAAAAAATAAAACTCACCAAAAACATCTTTGTCAGACTTTCTACAGTTCCAACAATGCCCCACTCTGGTTTGTTCGAAATAAATCCTTAATTCACAGATAAAAACTGCAGTTTCAGTTGCTGTACTCTGCTATAATATATTATACTCATACTCGTATGTAACCTTTAAAGTGTAACAAAATAAAACAATGAAATAGGTAAAAGAAAAACAACTATTTAAAAAAAGATTTTAAGTTTACCTACTCCCCTTAACCTTGTAATAACATCCTTAATTTTGTCTTCTGGTGTCAGGTTCGTGTTATTGCAGTGGTGCTGAGGAGTGAGACAGTAGCCTATCGCTGCCTCCTCTGTTGTCATGACCAACTGTACATCTCTGAAGGTGTCAGCAACATCCACGCTGATCACTTTGGTTTTGCATATGGGACAGCAGACATCATGTGTCCTCTCCCCTCAGGCTGTGAGACTCCATCTTATATCACCGTGACCTCTGCTGCAGCAGACTCTGAAGGTAGTCACCCAATGTTTTAAGTAAATTTCACTCTCTGTAGTGTTTGATCCATAGACGTCAACAGACATTTGATATCTTTGCTGGTGATGACCTTATTCAGGTGTTTTTTTAAACTTTAAACTTGTTCTTCAAGAGTACAGTGCAGAAATGTGATTGTCAAAATGTATCTGTGGTTCTTTTCTGTGGTCACTTAGATAAACCTGACAAAGAGTTTTTGGAAGTGAATAACCAGAAGGCCATAAATGACTCCTTTCCTTACAATTTCACCGTCTGCCTCTCCACCATGTTTGATTTCACCAACGTGCTGCAGGTAACATCTCACACACATTCACAGTTTATAAATACTGGACAGAGCTTCCAATTCTTTGAAGTGAAGCCAACACAAAGTGTCTTAAACATGCATTCTTTCTAACGGCCAACAGGTGGCAGCTCCATCGGCTCCATAATATTGAGTCTTATGGAGAAATGAGCCTACTTCTCACTTGATTTAGTGCTTAGTAAACAGTTTCCTAATGAGTTTATGGTCTCAGGCTCTAGTTTCAAGTCTTCTTCCATACAGCATGCTGTTCATTTAGTAAATTATGGTCCCATTTAGAGTAAAATAGAATAAAGTCGGGTATGATTTAGGGCATGGTTAACCTTGTGACTGACCAATCATTCTCAGTGAATTCATCCAGCACAATGCACTAACCTCAGATCAAACAGGTAGTGCTGATCAAATATGAATCAAGATTCTGTCACTGCATTGCTTATTTCTCTCCTGAAATCTTTTCAGAAACATATTTCCGTTTACTGTTTATTTGTAATATGAGAACTTGTGTGACCAGGCAAGCTGTCATTGTTTCCTGCTATTCCTAGCACCTTTCCATCACACTTTACATTACAGTTAACCCAGAGAATATTTTCTCTAATGCTTCTTACCACTGTTTGCCCTTAATAATGGAGAGACACAGACTTTTTTGACTGTCAGGCATTTTAGTGCTTACATGCCCCTGGAGTGTGTCAACTAAACACTTGTGTTGTATTGTAGCTGGTCCAGGGTTTGGAAATGCTGCAGTTACTGGGGGTGAACAGAGTTGTCATCTATAAGACCAGCAACAGCCCTGAAATAAAGCACGTACTGGACTACTACACACAAAAAGGTGGAGTATGGTGGAGGTGGAATATTCTGTGTGTGTGATTGCACTAGCAGCCACAGTAATTCAATTCAGTTCAATTCAGTTTTATTTGTATAGCACCAATTCATAACAGAAGTTATCTCAGGACACTTTTCAAATAGAGCAGGTCTAGACCGAACTCTTTATATCATGATTTACAGAGACCCAACAGTACCACCATGAGCAAGACCTTGGCGACGGCAGCAGAAACCTAGGACAGATCCTCTTGCTCTAGGTGTGTGGTCGTCTGTCTCGACCAGTTGGGGTGAGAGAGAGAGAGAGAGAGAGAGAGAGAGAGAGAGAGAGAGAGAGAGAGAGAGAGAGAGAGAGAGAGAGAGAGAGAGAGAGAGAGAGAGAGAGAGAGAGAGAGAGAGAGAGAGAGAGAGAGAGAGAGAGAGAGCAATCTAGCAATCTAGCAGGACCATGGCAGGAGGCTCCACCAGGATCCATGAGAACCTGCGAGACGAGAAAGCACAAGAACTCTGGGGAAGAAGTGAAGTTAGTAACATGCATTAATGGAACATGAATGAGTGCAGAAAGGGGGTGGAAGAGAGGAGCTCAGTGCATCATGGGAAATCCCCCCATAGTCTAGGCCTATAGCAGCATAACTAAGGGATGGTTCAGGACTCACCTGATCCAGCCCTAACTATAAGCTTTATCAAAGAGGAATGTCTTAAGCCTACTCTTGAATGTGGTGAGGGTGTCTGCCTCCAGAACCACAACTGGAAGCTGGTTCCACAGGAGAGGAGCTTGGTAACTGAAGGCTCTGGCTCCTGTTCTACTTTTAGAGACTATAGGAACCACAAGTAGCCCAGCATTCAGAGAACGTAGTGTTATAGAGGGGTAATAGGGTACTATGAGTAGTGGTATTTTCTCCATCCATCCATTTTGAACAGTGTGTACAGACCTTTCCCCTGCATTGACTTCCTCCCATCTGCTCTCCTTGAGTAAATTCATGGGGAAAAAAGTATTCTTTCCCGAATTTCGAAGTTCGCTTCTTTACCCTTGGAAAGACACTGATCCCAATATCAACATGACTTAGGAAACAATGTATTCCCTGACAGAACTATGCTATCCAGTAACAAACAATTTAATTCTAATTACAGGCAATTTAATTCTTGCACATGAATGGCGGACTCCCCCACTAACAATTAAAACCGCCATATAATTACTATTTTATTACTTATTATAATCGATTTTTTCCAATGTCTCCTCAGGTTTAGTAGAGGTGATTCCTTGGTCTATGTCCAGATTTCTGAATGTATCTCGAGGCTGGCTGCCTGAACACGGTCCAGGTGACCTCCACTACTTCGGCCAGATTCCTGCTCTCAGTGACTTTATTTACAGATACATGTACCAGTCCAGATATGTGGCCCTGCAGGATATAGATGAGCTCATACTGCCCCAGTCAGTCAACAGGTAGCACTATCTTTATGAAATGAGGCAAATGCCTGGTATCAGATTAAGTTCCTTATCAAGTTGTTACAGTACACTGACAGTAGGAAATACAGTTTCAGATCAGTGTATTTATTACCCGTTTGTACACAATTAGTACCAGGGTGTGTTTAAAATGGTTCATATATTTTATCACTACTTGAGACCCAGTATATCTTTGTGAATTACCTTAGGATAATTTATAATATTTAAACAGCAGTTATTGATACTTTATATATCATATATATATATATTGTATATTTTATTGTCTATCTTTTTTTTAAAATCTTTTTAGCATCAGTAAATGTCTTGTCTGGTGTGAAATTGAATGACATTTTAGTGTTAGGAATATGTCTTGTCTGTTGTGCCTGTGCACTTCTTATTGTGTTTTTTTACCAATGTATTTTTTTTGTTTTAAATTATTCTCTTACCAGTTGGTCGGAGCTGTTGCCTCTGCTGGAAAAGAAATATGGGGCTGACAAGTGTTACATGTTTGAGAATAACGTGTTCCCCAACACCATCACTCTGCCTCCTCCCACCTCCGAAACTCTGCCCCCGCAGAGCCGCTGCTGCCCCGGCTGGCAGAATGTATCCGGGGTGAACATTCTGGCTCACCTGTACCAGGAACCCATCATTAAAGAGACTCATTACAGCAACTTCAAGATAATTGTCAACCCCCGAGCTGTGTTCATCCCAACCGTCCACGGGCTGCTGCACTCACTGAACGGCTGCTCCTGGGTTGACAGGAATATAGCACGGATGTACCACACCAGGTAGACTGATGCTTGTGTACTCACTAATCAGAACTCCTCCACATCATTTGTTCAGGTTGCTGCAAGAAAGACAATCGATAAAACTTATCTTCTCCCTAAAATGTGTTTATCAAATAGACCCACCACTTTCGAGTCATTTAGCTAGTGTTTTCACAGTGTGCTTCTCTCATTACTGCATATGCCTTTAATTAGGGACCCTGCAAATAACAGGAAGAGAAAATGCAAAATAGGATTTACACCACCATAACAAGTAACCAGAGAGATGCAGCCTACTAGTTATACATTAATAAATAAACTTTTAGATGCAGTCATTATTAAGTGAACACATGATTTTTTTGTATCAAATAAACAGAGGAAGGGAAGTTTTTGTCAAACATGAATTTTAACTTTCTGCAGTAATCGGATTCCTTAAACATTGTGAATATGGTAAATGGACTGTACTTGTAGCGCAACTAGATGCCACATTCGCCTTTTCACACACATTCACACAGTGATGGCAAAGCCCATCGAACAGACACTAACTCATTCACATTCACACCGATCACACAGCATCTGGGGTAATTTGGGGTTCAGTATCTTGCTCAAGGATAGTTCAGGACGACCCGCTCTACTAAAACGCTTAATTTCTTACAGGAAATCATTGAAACAAGAGTGCCAATCTTTTGAGTTAATAGTTAACAATATAATGTCCCTTATACTACCAGTAGGCAATATGAGGAGGGATGCTATCATGTTAGCTAAATGACAGAAATCCTGCCTTCCTTTGGTCCTTTATCTGATGGAGGTTTGTGCAAGTATGGCCACGACCATGGCTCAGAAATATCAGTAGCCTAACAATAAAATTCCACCGGGCTTGGCTTTGTGACACCGTGAATCTGCACGTCATCATATCCCACGAGAGTGTTTCAGAAGCAGAGCATCTTGCCTGCCCAATGTTGTTGACTTGTGTATTTTGTCTTTTCTTTTCTTGATATTAGTGCTTCTACCAAGACTGAATTCTGGTCTGGTGCCACAGGTCTTGAGGTTATGTTGATGTTGTGTGAAAGTCAATTTATTTTGAAAATTGACCGGATTCTCTATGTTGTTTCTGTGCCTGACTTTCTGCCAATGTGATCTGCTCTATGCTGCTTTACGCAACTGGGTAGTGGCATCCATCAAAAGTAGACCAGTGTATTCTCCATGAACACTGTATAGAATGGGAGCAATCCGCTCTGCCGGCCACAGTGCAGCCAGAAAGTGTTGCAAACGCACCCAGTGGATTTTGACCACAACTGTGCTGTGTGTTGATAAATCCATGCCGCTGTCCGTGGTGCTGAAGTTGCAGCAGATAGATTTGTAATTGTGCCACCCTTCTTTCAGTTTCCTCTTGGATCAAATATTATGACAGATAATATTCTCTGTACTATATACTTATTCATCTGAGAAAGCTAACACAGGTTAATCACTGGTTGTCACCATCAGCAGAAACTAAACCATAGGATTACACAGAATTGCAGTATATGAATAGAGAATAAAGTTGAGTTTCCTTTTTTATCCACTTCAGGAAGAAAAATCCTCCGACTGAACCAAACATTCTGTTGCATTCACCACTAAACTGAAAACTACAGATTATACTTTATTACAATCTGATAAAAACAGTTTAAATCAGTTCTCTTTTAGATTTGTGATCTTGGATTAAAGTGGCGTGTAGTATTCAATACAGCTGAGTGTCGCCTCAAATTTACTAAAACCAACAGTTACTCTCCAACTCTTTCCAAACAGCTACGTTTGTGCATCACATCTCTTTCCTCTTTCTGTCTGTGCAGAGCTCCAAAACAACCCAATCTGACACCAGACCAGCTGATTTATGATGGCCGACTGCTGAGCTACAGTGCCCAGCTCACATCGACTGTCAATACTGTGCTCATGGAGAGTGGACTTCTACCAGAGGATTGTGTGTGTGTGTGTGTGCTAGAACAAGAAGCCAAGTTGTAACAGGAATATGCAGACATCTTTTTTAACGTCTTTTAAATAAATATATGTTTTAAGGATATTTGCCTTTATTGACAGGACAGCTCAGGATAGACAGGAAAGGGGGAGAGAAAGAGAGGAGATGACATGCAGCAAACAGCCACAGGTTGGACTCAAACCCCAGCTCTACCAGGGGAGCTACAAGGACGCTGCTGCAAAGGTGTTTAAAGACACATATAATTGAATTGACACTGCTAAAGTGTGAAACCGGTGAAATGCATCGTTTCCTGACTAAAATGACTGAGTTTGAATATTGTTGGAAACATTTGGGATAATGGAAGTACACAACTCAACATAATATATAACATAGGTTGCACATCAATGAGCCACACTAGTTTATTTTGACTCAATCACACATACACTGTCCTGCTGTACAAATACTCACAAAAAATAGTCCCCAATGAGTGCATTACAAATTTCTTCCCCTTTGAGTTCAAAGAGCTGCATTTCCTGTTTGTATCATTATTTCCTTGTTTGGGTTATTTTTTCCATACTGTATAATTCATTTTCTTTTGTGATTGATTTATGATTAATTTAATTTACTTTTTAGAGTTGAGCCTTGATATGAAGGACAATCACAGTTCTGTATCAGTTACTGTTCAGTAAATGAATGAATCTGTTGAGGAGCAGGTCTTCTAATGTTTGCAGACAATAAAACACCTCTGGCAGCTTCAGTTGACAGAATATTTTGTATCTATGCTAGCACTGTTCAGATAAAAACAATGGTACATTAGAATTGCACCAACTTACCAAGAGAAGGCTACATTAACTAAATATAGATGACAAGCCATTGCACTGATGTTCACTGTCGTATATGTTTCTGTGGAATACCTTAAAATGTGAGAAACGTGAAGAAACTGTTCACAAAAGACAGAAGGAAATATTAACTTGAAACTGTTGCTGCCTTTTTACACATTTGTTCATTAAGTTATTGTGTAATGTCATTGTCTGAAGAAAATCCTACTGTATTTTTAATAAAGGTTTGGGACTGGATACATTTTCAGTATATATATATATATATATAAATATATATATTTGAAGTCTTACTGTTATCATGTCTTACTTTTTTCACCTTTTGTAGTTCCCCTGTGTGTCCACTGGAGGGCAACAAACATTCATGATTCCACATGAGCATCAAGGCAGTTAGGACAACTTGATCTCCAGACCAGGAAACTGTTCATTTAGTTTTTCATCAATAATTATGTTATTTGTAATAAACACATTAGTAAGGAATATATTGATATTGATAAAATTATAATAATGATAATTATACTGACATTAATCACAAATATGTTGTAGTTGTTGCAGTACCACAATGTGACCAGTGGCTGGTGCTGAACATCCATTCATTCACACCTCATTCTGTTTTGTATAGATCTACTAATTCTTAGACAGACAGAGCAAACTGTTTTAAATGAGGAAGGATTGTAGTGGGAGCGCTGGGTGTCAGGTGTGACTGTGTGGCAAATAGTTTCAGGTAGGAGGCACCACTTTCCAGCCCAAGCTTCCCCAGATATGCATTCCCTTTTCCCAGATTTACAATACTTTTTTTTTTCCTTATTAAAACCCTGTTTCCTGGAGCACATGCATTTGGACTGGTTGTTGGATGAAAATAACAGGATAATGCAGTGCACATAAAACAGGGTGTAACTGTCCTAGCCACTACAAACAAAACTTTTCTGTATTTGACATTTGAAAATCATATGTTGATTTTGTACCTATTGAATTCTAACTAGTAAAAAACTAGTAAAACCTGAGTTTTAATTTGTAGTCAGCTTGTTTAATCTTTGTGTACAAGACACCAATTGTAAATTTCAATTCAACTTTGTCCAATTTCTGTTTCAATGATGTAAGCTCAATTTGTAATGGCTAATCGCTGATTTACTGTTAAGCTTCCATCCAAAACCTCATATACTGCACAGCTCAAAGTATGGATATGTATGAATTCCACACTCTAATATATTGTGTGGTCTATAAGTGCACCACTTATAGTTGATTAACTCACAGATTGCAAGTAAATAATATCCAATAGAAATAGCTGTTGCAAATAATAACCAAAACTATACAAACACAAACAGACCCAAGTTGTAATAAACCAGAATTAGTCTTGAGTTTAGCCTTAGGCTCCAGCTTTTCCCCTGCTTCTCATTAGCTTGGTGAAATTTCACTTCTCTTCATAGGTGACAGAAAAACACTGCAATAAAAACCGAGGAATAAACACAAGGAACAAGTGCTTCCACAAACACAAGGGGGTATCCGTTTTGACATGTATCCGTATTTTTTTAAGACAAGTTAAAAATATTAGCTGCAATGAGTATCAAGGGAGGAATAACTGCCACATCCCTGACGCACACCAAGCAATTACGCTTCCACTTGATGTGTGTGAGACCGACTTCCTCTGGCTGAGAGCAGTCTTCCTGCTTCAAGACCAAAAGCAGTGACTGCCTTTTACTTTCCAAGCTGATTGAGGAAGAGGCAAAGCAGCCATTCATTCATAATTCATAACCATCAAAAACATTAACAGAACGGACACGATGCACACAAACAGTAGGCAGAAAGTCAATGTGTTCTCCTCATGTCACTGAAAGGCTCTGCATATGAATGAATGTCGTGTTTGCACTACAGTACTTTAAAAACATGGCAACACAGTCCACTGAACAATTTGCATGTGATACAACATCTCAGTATATCGCCAGTTTTACCAAAGTGTCCATGTCAGATTTCAGCAAGAGCAGAAAAATGTCATGGTATGACATTCAGAGGTGAAAATAAAACTTGATAAGCTGACTTCTCTCTATTATATGACAGCTGTGTGCTTCTGAAGCCGTTAGAGATGTATATGAATTTATAGTAAATTATAATATATTTTATATATATTTATATAATATTATAAGATAAAAAATATTTCCTTTCGGGGACTTTAGGGGCTCCGTACAAAACATATTTCATGAAAGTCAGTTCAGAAATAAGTGAGTAAGTTCTGCGGTGAAGTATGCATCTCTCACAATACACACGGAGAACGCAATATCTACGTTTCTCCTGTTTTCTGTTTTCTCTTCCTCTTCCTCTTCCCCTTCTTCCTCTTCCCCCTCTTCCTGCTGCCTGTTGGTGCATCAATGGGTTCAGCTGCACATCGTGTGAGCAATGAACCGCAAGATTGATGTCTTAACTCTATTTTTGGAAAGTAAGTTTCTCCAGATATGGGATATTCCAGATATCACGTTCCAACCTGCACGGCTGCATGACACAGGTAAGTCTCATTCTTACCGCGTTAATTAATGCTTTAAGTCGTGTTTCCAAGTTCAGTTAAATATGAAGCTGAAGTTAAATAGTTTCTGTGCTAACAGAGAGGAACACAATGTTGAGGATTCCAACTAACAGTTACTCCAGGGATATTTCAGACCATTGTTAAGATGTTTCCCTAACTATAAACTGAATATTTTATACAGTGCTTTTACCTTTTTAAATTTACTGTAAAGGGTCTTGTTTTTAATATAAAAAAAAAAAAAAACCAAAAAACGCACAGGAACTCTAATACTTTTTAATAGTCCTGTAAAATGTCAGGGAGAAATAAGTAAGGATTAAACTGAGGTCACAGGACCCCCAGTGCAGCCCGCTACACCCCCCATAATGAAACTAAAAGTCTCATTACATACTGGAAAGGTGAGGAAAAGAAGTGACAGGAAACATAGTAAAGTTTGGACACATTTTAATTGACTGATAGTTAAACATTTTAATATGGAGCAGCTTTTTTTTTATTAAGGAAGGGGCTTTTTTTTTTATTTTTTTTTTTTTTTTTTTTGAAATATTTTTCATTTTTTTTTTTTATAAAAACCTCTAAAAAAAAAAAATATATTTTATTTTATATATTTATTTATTTTTTTATTTTTTTATAAATTTTTGTTATAAATAATTAATTTAAGCAACAAAAAATCTAAGGAGCCACTTGGGAGCCGAAACAGTCGGCTCTTTTTAGTGAGCTGAGCCGAAGGAACCACGCCCGACACAGGTAAGTCTCATTCTTACCGCGTTAATTAATACTTTAAGTCGTGTTTCCAAGTTCAGTTAAATATTAAGCTAAAGTTAAATAGTTTCTGTGCTAACAGAGAGGAACACAATGTTGAGGATTCCAACTAACAGTTACTCCAGGGATATTTCAGACCATTGTTACGATGTTTCCCACATAAACTGAATATTTTATACAGTGCTTTTACTTTTTAACATCTACTGTAAATGCAGCCTGCTACACCCCCATAATGAAACTAAAAGTCTCGTATATATATATATATATATATATATATATATATATATATATATATATATATATATATATATATTCAGCTAACTGTTAGACTGCCTGTAATTTGATAAAATGACTTTTTAAAACCTTCACACTGTCAAAATAAAACTATTCTAGGGGGAAATGCTGCAGTAATATGTGATATGATAAGTGTTTCTCTCTTTTGTGTATATAATATAATAATAAATATCCTTATTAACTCTATTCATCTGTTACTTAGATCATCATGCATTAAATCTGCATTAGGTAGGCACAACATTTCCCACAAATCCATTTTTAGGACTATATTGCCATTTGAATTCACATTAATAGGAATATGTCTGTGCGCTTTGTTTGCTTGACATTTAACACACCTACCAATTAGATTTATAGATTTTCCAGTGAATAGGATAGCTTCAAATGGGGGAAAATATATAGCTGCTAGTGGCCTTTTAGAAACAAAGTCGGAAAAATCACCAAGCTGGCAACACTGAACGAGGGTGCTGGGCACAACCAAGTCAGGGAAGTAACACACTTAATGTTTTCCTGAATAAATGTAAATTCAATTAAAATAAATAGAAAATAACAAGAGAAAATGCTCAAAAAAAAGGCAGACTTATTCAACATATTTTCTATCATATATTACTGGGAACAAATTGGTACTTTTTTACTTCCAGTGTTGCATGCATGGTTATGCCCTAGGTTGTAGTCCAGTACCTCATTCATGGTGGAGAAATCACATTCACAGTTCAAAGATGAATCAAGTCCCTTTATTACTTGCAGCATGGAGAGAAGACCGCAGCATGAATGTTCGCTCCCAGACTTTCAGAATGATCTACCGTATATACCATCCAGTATCTTCAAGATCACCTGGATACGTCCTAACAGTATCACTTGTAACTCACATGTGAACATCCTTAACACAATGGTGACTTATTAACAGATTCTTAGCAGATTTTTCCCTACCATAAAAAAAATACTTAACCGAACTTAATACATGATAGCAAATACTAGTGCTGATACCGTGCTAAAAAAAGGTTAGACATATAGACATCAATCTATATAGATAAAGATAAGTCAGTAGTGTTGTAAACTAGGAGAAACTGCAGTGACAGTTAAGTTTCCACAGTTCAGCTCCCTCTTAGTTTGTTGAAGTTTTCATGCGAGGCAGCCTGATTTTAATTGATTTAAATTCAATTCTAAAAACGTTTCTCAAGAGTCATTGAGGTTTCCCTCATTAACAATAATGTTAAGAAACAGAGAAATATGCTAAAAACAATTTTGTTCAAACAAATGGTGAAAGGATTTGAGATCATCGTCTTAAATTTAGAGTGTCAATCTTGGGAATGGGTTGTAGATAATTCCATGCGATTGGTGCACAAAGGCTAAAGGCAGAAGTTCAGACTGAACCCGTGGGACTTTTATTGCTCTATTTATTGAGAGTTTAACAGTAATCTCTTTATCAGGACTGTGCCGGTGAGGTTGTCCTGGCAACAGAAGGAAACAACAACGCAACTTTAAATATCTTCATATGTACACAGGGTTGTCCACATATCTTTATTTAAATACTGAAGCCTAAACGTCACTGAAGCAGTATGCTATAGTCAACCTATAAATTTGCTTAAGGTTGAGTTCCTAATCTCTCTTAAACTATTTAAGGGAGACTGTTACAACCTCAGATGTAAAATCCAGGGGTGAGACAATTAATAAATAACCCAGGATAAAAGAAAGACGGAAAAACAGAATTATATGTACCAACAAAACTATTTATTAAACGTCTTAATCGCAAATGAAAAGTTCAAATTTCCAACAAAAATCTACTTCCTTAAAATAGAAAGTGAAAATAACTCTATTTTAACAATAAACATGAATTAAGCAAACAAACATTAATGTCACCCTTCCTCCACTGAGAGAGTACTGGAATAACAGACACTGTTTTGCGGTTTGGTCCACTGGCCTCGTCTGCTTCTGTTGTCCTTGTTTTAAGGCCATTTGGACTGATCGATGAACTATTGCAGGTGCCTGACCAGTCGGAGGGAAGGGCAGTACCTGGAACAGGGCACACAGAACAGGGCAGAGAACCACACTATACTCGAAACAGAGACTAAACACCATTCCTGTGTAATGGTATGAATAGTGCACCATATGTGCATAATGTTGACTGTGTGTTCTTTCAATAGAATTTAACTTAAGATAATGTTAATCTGACACTAAGTGAAATGTTCTATCCATAAAGGACTTGTTGCACCATCACCATCATTTACTAGAGTGAAGCAGGGGAAACTGTGGCGTGCGCCACTTCCTATCAAAAAATATTCCTTTTGTGGCCTTAGGTGTTTTTTGTCTCTCTGACTTCTGTCCCAGTTAGGCAATTTATTTTATTTAGTCAGATTTATTTTTATTATTTACATTTTTATTGCATTTGTTTCTTGTCTACATCGTGTCATTGGTGTGACTTCACAAAAACAACAATATCTCTAGCTGAAATTAATACTTTGGATTCTACAATTTTTCAATGAACTTTAGAGCGTGTCTAGTACATGTAAGAGTGAATCTGTAGCAACACATTTTCAAAGTGAATTGACAATACTGAATCACCATTATCACCATGCTACCTACTCTAAACCTATGCATGGGTGGGTTGTTTACTAGTCATATATGGTTAAATTTGGTAGGCACTGACTGCTGTTTTGCTATGCACTGTATTTGTTGGTTTGTTCTGTCCTTCACCTTCCTATTGTGTGATAAAATGAACACTGCAGTCCACTGCAGTTCTTACAGGGTTTATGATTTTAGGAAGGATACATGCACTTACTGAGGGTGTGTGAGCAGCAGCAGCTGAAACATCTGAGGGAAATGTTACGAATCACTCATTTCTTCTGCTTGTCCAGGTTTCTCCGTAGACGTGTGCGAGCAGAAAGGAGTGGAACTGAGGCAACATGTGTGCCATGTGCAGCAATCATCAGCAGCCGCTTCAGCTAAAGACTTTCAGACAGTTGATGTACTGCAGTACTGTCATCACCATCCTCTCTCTCATGCTGCTCTATACCTACAAGTGGGTGAAATTACTATTCTGACCTACCGTAGAAACTGTTGACAGTACAGGTTTTAATATGCAGAGCAGTTCAATTCACTACTCAATGTAAATTTGGTTTTAAACAAAGAACAGGCATTAATTCTGATGTTATTCATTAATATTCATTAGATGTGATGATGGTCTTTAGTGGAACCAAAATTTGTCAGATGATCGATGATCGTCTTTTGACCAGTTTTAATACATTCAAATGATTACATGGGGACACATGTCCACCAGAAGAGGAGGCGTTACCCATGACCACTGAGAAAGATCTGCTACATAAATATGATAAAAAACATTTTAGGGCAGTGTCCCTGATGCCAACCCACATGCAGAACAATCATAGCCGTCAGCTGTAAGTAGAAGGTTGTTACTTACTTTGATAGGAGCAGATTCAGTGCTATGACACAATAATGGCTTTGTGCTCTGACACATATAAACTAGTATCACAAATATCAATGTTATCAAGAGTAAAACCGGGGGACAGGGCAATATCTAGGGTGTATCCCTTTACACGTGTGGGGCTGCAAAATGTCTATAAAATCCGACAGGGCTATGGGATATAGAGCTGACATGCTTGGCATGGTCATGCTGGGGAAACCATCAATTCAGGATAAAAGCAATGAAGTTGATTCCCGATCAGTATTCCTGTTCCTTCCCTGTTTGGATGCGACCAAAGGGAGTCAAAATGACTAATAAAACCAATTCCAGTGGCAGTAGTAACATTTTTCTTCCATATGTGTAGACCAAAAAGACGGCTAAAATGCTCAGAGTTCCTGCTCAAAGTGGGAGTGACCAGACAGGACACAACTCCTTTCAGGCTTTCTACAGTTGAGGTCAGAGGCTCAAGTTCATACTGAAGCCTGATGGATTGCCTGGACATGACGTCATTTGTGCCAGCATGCACTATCACATGGTTGACAGAGGAATGGATGTCAACAAGAGCTTGAGTCTGTTCAATAAAATCATGTCTTCCCCCCAGAAAGACGTATGTATGTAATTGCACCAGGTAGCTTTATGAATCAGATGATAGAGTCTCCAACAATTTAAGGTTGATTGGGGTTTCATTTGTAAATCGGAAGCTTTGATCTCAGTTTCTGGCCAATCATTAGAGATCTAACTGAGTGCAGGTAAGTTGACTCATTAATTAATGAGAAGCTTGTGTGGGGGAAGACACAGCAACAGTAACAGGTGGCTGTGGTAGGAGAGAGGGAGAGGAGACCACTGGAGCTGAGACTGAGTGGAGCAGGTTGTCAGACTGAAGGAGTAACAGTTTGAACGTTTGTGCCCAAGTGGGCCTGATGTTCAGGTTGGTGAGCCTGTGGATGAGGTGAGGGTGGCAAGTTTAGATTAGATTAGATTCAACTTTATTGTCATTGCACAAAGTACTGCTTTTTGCACTTCTGGTCAGATGCCTAACTGCATTTCGTTTTCTTTGTACTTGTAAAGTGCAGAGTAATGTACATATGTGCAGGGATATAAAGAAAAGTATAGATATATATATATGAATATGCTAGCAAGATATATACAGTATGGACAGCATTAACAGAATGAATGGAGTGAAGTGAATAGAATACAAGCTGTATATACAGCAGGTAAAATAAGTATTGAACATGTCACCATTATTCTCAGTAAATATATTTCTAAAGATGCTATTGACATGAAATTTTCACCAGATGTCGGTAACAACCCATGCAGTCCACACATGCAAAATCAAACCGTAGATGTCCATAAATGAAGTTATGTGTAATAATGTGAAATGACGCAGGGAAAAAGTATTGAACACATGGCGAAAAGGAGGCGCAAAAAGGCATGGAAAGCCATGACACCAGCTGAAATCTATCAGTTATTAGAGAACAATCCTGCCACTTGTCAGTGCAAATTAATATCAGCTGATTCAGTCCCAACTGATGGCATATAAAAAGGTGTATCATCACCAAGGTGTCACACAAGAAACATCTCCTGATGGGTAAAACCAAAGTGCTCTCTCAAGACCTTTGCAACCTTATTGTTGCAAAACATACTGATGGCATTGGTTACAGAAGGATTTCTAAACTTCTGAATGTTCCACTGAGCACTGTTGGGGCCATAATCCAGAAGTGGAAAGAACATAATTTCTCCATAAACTGGCCATGACTAGGTGCTCCTTGCAAGATTTCTGACAGAGGAGTGATAAGAATTATCAGAAGAGTTGTCCAAGAGCCAAGGACCACTTGTGGAGAGCTTCAGGAAGACCTGGAATTAGCAGTACAATTGTTTCAAAGAAAACAATAAGTAATGCACTCAACCGCCATGGCCTGTATGCACACCCACCCTAAACTAAGGATGCCCAGGAGGCTGGACACGGTGAATTGACTTCAATGGGAGAAGCTGCTCTATTCGAGGCCGAGGGCTGCTGGCTGCACACAGGCTCGAGATGTGTCAGCCGTTTTTTTAAACGATGGAAACACACATTGATTTGCATTTTCTTTGCGGATTTTATGGAAGTTTGTTTTACATCTACACCACATGAAAACCAATTAAATATCACACTATTTACTGCTTTGGACAAGAGAATGTTACTTCGGGCACGAGACATTTTGTCACTGTAAACATGTATTGAATTCGCAGAAATGATTGATTATGATTTTGTTTCTAAATATGCTGAGTTGAATGCTCTCTTACCTTTTGAATTGTTCTTGGAACTTCAGTTCAAAATTCCTTGTCAAGTAAAATGTTGACATCAGCTAAATGATTTGCTGTGGATGGACAGGGTCGACAAGATCAAGTTCTACAAAGCAACCAGTGAGCCTCAGATCTTTGTGCAACCCACAGTGCCTCAACAATGTGGTCAAGGACAAATAGGTAAACTAATTGTTTTCTGAACGCTGCTTTTTAAGAAATGTAGAATAACATCTGTCCCAAAGAAATATTTCCTCTTCCTGTTCTTCTCAGCTGCTGTTTATTATTTAAATATCCTATTTCCTGTTCCTGAACTCCTCGTGATCATTCTTGATTCACCTTAATGCTATTATTGTCTTTCACTATTTCCATTTATTGAATCTACATTTCCTACTATATATTTACTTTTTTCACATTACACCCATCAGTACATTTCAAAATGAAATGAATGTTATGTGTTAATGTGTCTATTCCAATGTTTATCTTAATGTAGGATGTACAATGTACGGAAGCCCTGGGCCATATATTCATACATTTTATTTACTCCGTTTTTCCATGATAACGAGCTAATTTTCTCGAGATCTCGAGATAACGAAACTTTGTTTTCCCAAGCCAGCCGTTACTCCGATCTCTGTGGTCAAATCAGATGCACTTAAATTTTTTCATTCCATGGTTATACTCCCTTCTTTGAAAAAAAAAAGAAGTAGTCACACAACTGCAACTGGCAGGGTGGATGGATTTATAACAGGAAATTATTTTTCTTCCTTTCTGTCTCTCTGCGATAATGTTTTCACCAAGTTCATTTCTGAGATATAAGAAGTGTGTTTCCTACCTGTCTGATTGTCTGACTGTTCATGTGTCTTGCCCCATCTGATTTGCAGAGAAATAGGCAACTTAGTATCTTTTGTGGAAAGACAGACATTAATGTTAAGCACTTATGCACCAACTCGGTCTAACATTTTTCACTCATGCAGTTCCTCAGGGACAAAAGGTGGCAGTCAACAGGACAAAAACGCTGCTCATATCAGCTTATCAGGAGCACCGTACAGGCAGAAAGGAGGTCAGTGAAAAAAAGCAGGGCACCAACTCCGCCAAGTTTCACTCCCTGTTCCTGTGCTCAGTGAATGCAACATAAGGCTACGTCATGATGACCAAATACCTTCAGAACTAATGGCATTCCCATCAGCCTCAACTGTATTTTGTGGTTATTGCTAATTAAGAAATTAGAATGCTAATACACTGAACAACAAATAAAAAATAATACTAATACTAATACCTGTTTAACGTGTTAGCATGCTGATGTTGTCATTTAACTCAAAACACTCACAGAGCCGCTAGCATGACTGTAGCCTCTTAGTCTTGTTATCTTCTACACCTACAAAACCACACTAAATCCAGAAGCCCCATGGATCCATTGGCACTAAACCCCAGCAGTCACTGTATTTCACCGCAGTTTCCCTATGTTGTAGTGGAAGTAGTGAGTCATTTATGTAGTAAGACAAAAAGTAAGCCACCTGAAGTTGAGATGGTGGCAATGTGTTGCACATCTGACTTTTTGCAGCAGAGGTTGAATCCTGTCAGACTTTCAATTAATATTAATCTCTTTATGAACTATGATAATTTTTTAACCTTAACCAAGAATTATAGTTGACAGAAGTCAGTGCTGTGTGCAGGTCAGAGGTCTGTAGCGTTTATTTGATTAATATAATAGTTACAATAATCATATTTTCAATATAAACTTTATTTCACTAGTACAATAATTTGACTAATCGTCTTCCAGAGAAGGTTAATATAGTTCATTTGACAATAATACTACTGATACTGAAGATGCAGGGCATAGATCTGTGCTTTCTACTTAATTCATGTAATAATAACAATAATGATATTCCAAATCAACTTTTGTTGGCCCCCAATCTGATTAATATTGAGTATCTGCTGATCCAAATCCGATACTTTTCAAAAATAATAAAGTTACACAGTGCTTTAACCCTAACTTTACCAAGATTCATCTGCCATAAGCACAATCTTTTCTTAACCTCAAGTAGTTTTCATGTGCAGATATTGTAAAAAGCAAAAACGCTGACATTGAACGTAATCCCAGATTCTGAGGAAGCATCCAATATTGATGTGTTTGTCTGGCAATAGGCTTGTTTTTCTCTAAAGATTGTTTTTATTAAAAATAAAACTCACCAAAAACATCTTTGTCAGACTTTCTACAGTTCCAACAATGCCCCACTCTGGTTTGTTCGAAATAAATCCTTAATTCACAGATAAAAACTGCAGTTTCAGTTGCTGTACTCTGCTATAATATATTATACTCATATATAGTATGTAACCTTTAAAGTGTAACAAAATAAAACAATGAAATAGGTAAAAGAAAAACAACTATTTAAAAAAAGATTTTAAGTTTACCTACTCCCCTTAACCTTGTAATAACATCCTTAATTTTGTCTTCTGGTGTCAGGTTCGTGTTATTGCAGTGGTGCTGAGGAGTGAGACAGTAGCCTATCGCTGCCTCCTCTGTTGTCATGACCAACTGTACATCTCTGAAGGTGTCAGCAACATCCACACTGATCACTTTGGTTTTGCATATGGGACAGCAGACATCATGTGTCCTCTCCCCTCAGGCTGTGAGACTCCATCTTATATCACTGTGACCTCTGCTGCAGCAGACTCTGAAGGTAGTCACCCAATGTTTTAAGTAAATTTCACTCTCTGTAGTGTTTGATCCATAGACGTCAACAGACATTTGATATCTTTGCTGGTGATGACTTTATTCAGGTGTTTTTTTAAACTTTAAACTTTTTCTTCAAGAGTACAGTGCAGAAATGTGATTGTCAAAATGTATCTGTGGTTCTTTTCTGTGGTCACTTAGATAAACATGACAAAGAGTTTTTGGAAGTGAATAACCAGAAGGCCATAAATGACTCCTTTCCTTACAATTTCACCGTCTGCCTCTCCACCATGTTTGATTTCACCAACGTGCTGCAGGTAACTTCTGTTGTTTGACTGTCAGGCATTTTAGTGCTTACATGCCCCTGGAGTGTGTCAACTAAACACTTGTGTTGTATTGTAGCTGGTCCAGGGTTTGGAAATGCTGCAGTTACTGGGGGTGAACAGAGTTGTCATCTATAAGACCAGCAACAGCCCTGAAATAAAGCACGTACTGGACTACTACACACAAAAAGGTGGAGTATGGTGGAGGTGGAATATTCTGTGTGTGTGATTGCACTAGCAGCCACAGTAATTCAATTCAGTTCAATTCACTTTTATTTGTATAGCACCAATTCATAACAGAAGTTATCTCAGGACACTTTTCAAATAGAGCAGGTCTAGACCGAACTCTTTATATCATGATTTACAGAGACCCAACAGTACCACCATGAGCAAGACCTTGGCGACGGCAGCAGAAACCTAGGACAGATCCTGTTGCTCTAGGTGTGTGGTCGTCTGTCTCGACCAGTTGGGGAGAGGGAGAGGGAGAGGGAGAGGGAGGGAGAGGGAGAGGGAGAGAGAGAGGGAGAGGGAGAGAGAGAGGGAGAGAGAGAGGGGGAGAGAGAGAGGGAGAGAGAGAGGGAGAGAGAGAGAGAGAGAGAGAGAGAGAGAGAGAGAGAGATGCACAGCAACAACAGTATTGGTAATGGCAATCTAGCAGGACCATGGCAGGAGGCTCCACCAGGATCCATGAGAACCTGTGAGACGAGAAAGCACAAGAACTCTGGGGAAGAAGTGGAGTTAGTAACATGCATTAATGGGACATGAATGCAGAAAGAGAGCGGAAGAGAGGAGCTCAGTGCATCATGGGAAATCCCCCCATAGTCTAGGCCTATAGCAGCATAACTAAGGGATGGTTCAGGACTCACCTGATCCAGCCCTAACTATAAGCTTTATCAAAGAGGAATGTCTTAAGCCTACTCTTGAATGTGGTGAGGGTGTCTGCCTCCCGAACCACAACTGGAAGCTGGTTCCACAGGAGAGGAGCTTGGTAACTGAAGGCTCTGGCTCCTGTTCTACTTTTAGAGACTATAGGAACCACAAGTAGCCCAGCATTCAGAGAACGTAGTGTTATAGAGGGGTAATAGGGTACTATGAGTAGTGGTATTTTCTCCATCCATCCATTTTGAACAGTGTGTACAGACCTTTCCCCTGCATTGACTTCCTCCCATCTGCTCTCCTTGAGTAAATTCATGGGGAAAAAAGTATTCTTTCCCGAATTTCGAAGTTCGCTTCTTTACCCTTGGAAAGACACTGATCCCAATATCAACATGACTTAGGAAACAATGTATTCCCTGACAGAACTATGCTATCCAGTAACAAACAATTTAATTCTAATTACAGGCAATTTAATTCTGGCACATGAATGGTGGACTCCCCCACTAACAATTAAAACCGCCATATAATTACTATTTTATTACTTATTATAATCGATTTTTTCCAATGTCTCCTCAGGTTTAGTAGAGGTGATTCCTTGGTCTATGTCCAGATTTCTGAATGTATCTCGAGGCTGGCTGCCTGAACACGGTCCAGGTGACCTCCACTACTTCGGCCAGATTCCTGCTCTCAATGACTTTATTTACAGATACATGTACCAATCCAGATATGTGGCCCTGCAGGATATAGATGAGCTCATACTGCCCCAGTCAGTCAACAGGTAGCACTATCTTTATGAAATGAGGCAAATGCCTGGTATCAGATTAAGTTCCTTATCAAGTTGTTACAGTACACTGACAGTAGGAAATACAGTTTCAGATCAGTGTATTTATTACCCGTTTGTACACAATTAGTACCAGGGTGTGTTTAAAATGGTTCATATATTTTATCACTACTTGAGACCCAGTATATCTTTGTGAATTACCTTAGGATAATTTATAATATTTAAACAGCAGTTATTGATACTTTATATATCTTATATATATATATATTGTATATTTTATTGTCTATCTTTTTTTAAAATCTTTTTAGCATCAGTAAATGTCTTGTCTGGTGTGAAATTGAATGACATTTTAGTGTTAGGAATATGTCTTGTCTGTTGTGCCTGTGCACTTCTTATTGTGTTTTTTTACCAATGTATTTTTTTTGTTTTAAATTATTCTCTTACCAGTTGGTCGGAGCTGTTGCCTCTGCTGGAAAAGAAATATGGGGCTGACAAGTGTTACATGTTTGAGAATAATGTGTTCCCCAACACCATCACTCTGCCTCCTCCCACCTCCGAAACTCTGCCCCCGCAGAGCCGCTGCTGCCCCGGCTGGCAGAATGTATCCGGGGTGAACATTCTGGCTCACCTGTACCAGGAACCCATCATTAAAGAGACTCATTACAGCAACTTCAAGATAATTGTCAACCCCCGAGCTGTGTTCATCCCAACCGTCCACGGGCTGCTGCACTCACTGAACGGCTGCTCCTGGGTTGACAGGAATATAGCACGGATGTACCACACCAGGTAGACTGATGCTTGTGTACTCACTAATCAGAACTCCTCCACATCATTTGTTCAGGTTGCTGCAAGAAAGACAATCAATAAAACTTATCTTCTCCCTAAAATGTGTTTATCAAATAGACCCACCACTTTCGAGTCATTTAGCAAGTGTTTTCACAGTGTGCTTCTCTCATTACTGCATATGCCTTTAATTTGGGACCCTGCAAATAACAGGAAGAGAAAATGCAAAATAGGATTTACACCACCATAACAAGTAACCAGTGAGATGCAGCCTACTAGTTATACATAAATAAATAAACTTTTAGATGCAGTCGTTATTGAGTGAACACATGATTTTTTTGTATCAAATAAACAGAGAAAGGGAAGTTTTTGTCAAACATGAATTTTAACTTTCTGCAGTAATCGGATTCCTTAAACATTGTGAATATGGTAAATGGACTGTACTTGTAGCGCAACTAGATGCCACATTCGCCTTTTCACACACATTCACACAGTGATGGCAAAAGCCCATCGAACAGACACTAACTCATTCACATTCACACCGATCACACAGCATCTGGGGTAATTTAGGGTTCAGTATCTTGCTCAAGGATAGTTCAGGACGACCCGCTCTACTAAAACGCTTAATTTCTTACAGGAAATCATTGAAACAAGAGTGCCAATCTTTTGAGTTAATAGTTAACAATACAATGTCCCTTATACTACCAGTAGGCAATATGAGGAGGGATGCTATCATGTTAGCTAAATGACAGAAATCCTGCCTTCCTTTGGTCCTTTATCTGATGGAGGTTTGTGCAAGTATGGCCACGACCATGGCTCAGAAATATCAGTAGCCTAACAATAAAATTCCACCGGGCTTGGCTTTGTGACACCGTGAATCTGCACGTCATCATATCCCACGAGAGTGTTTCAGAAGCAGAGCATCTTGCCTGCCCAAAGTTGTTGACTTGTGTATTTTGTCTTTTCTTTTCTTGATATTAGTGCTTCTACCAAGACTGAATTCTGGTCTGGTGCCACAGGTCTTGAGGTTATGTTGATGTTGTGTGAAAGTCAATTTATTTTGAAAATTGACCGGATTCTCTATGTTGTTTCTGTGCCTGACTTTCTGCCAATGTGATCTGCTCTATGCTGCTTTACGCAACTGGGTAGTGGCATCCATCAAAAGTAGACCAGTGTATTCTCCATGAACACTGTATAGAATGCGAGCAATCCGCTTTGCCGGCCACAGTGCAGCCAGAAAGTGTTGCAAACGCACCCAGTGGATTTTGGCCACAACTGTGCTGTGTGTTGATAAATCCATGCCGCTGTCCGTGGTGCTGAAGTTGCAGCAGACAGATTTGTAATTGTGCCACCCTTCTTTCAGTTTCCTCTTGGATCAAATATTATGATAGATAATATTCTCTGTACTATATACTTATTCATCTGAGAAAGCTAACACAGGTTAATCTCTGGTTGTCACCATCAGCAGAAACTAAACCATAGGATTACACAGAATTGCAGTATATGAATAGAGAATAAAGTTGAGTTTCCTTTTTTATCCACTTCAGGAAGAAAAATCCTCCGACTGAACCAAACATTCTGTTGCATTCACCACTAAACTGAAAACTACAGATTATACTTTATTACAATCTGATAAAAACAGTTTAAATCAGTTCTCTTTTAGATTTGTGATCTTGGATTAAAGTGGCGTGTAATATTCAATACAGCTGAGTGTCGCCTCAAATGCAAATTTACTAAAACCAACAGTTACTCTCCAACTCTTTCCAAACAGCTACGTTTGTGCATCACATCTCTTTCCTCTTTCTGTCTGTGCAGAGCTCCAAAACAACCCAATCTGACACCAGACCAGCTGATTTATGATGGCCGACTGCTGAGCTACAGTGCCCAGCTCACATTGACTGTCAATACTGTGCTCATGGAGAGTGGACATCTACCAGAGGATTGTGTGTGTGTGTGTGTGCTAGAACAAGAAGCCAAGTTGTAACAGGAATATGCAGACATCTTTTTTAACGTCTTTTAAATAAATATATGTTTTAAGGATATTTGCCTTTATTGACAGGACAGCTCAGGATAGACAGGAAAGGGGGAGAGAAAGAGAGGAGATGACATCCAGCAAACAGCCACAGGTTGGACTCAAACCCCAGCTCTACCAGGGGAGCTACAAGGACGCTGCTGCAAAGGTGTTTAAAGACACATATAATTGAATTGACACTGCTAAAGTGTGAAACCGGTGAAATGCATCGTTTCCTGACTAAAATGACTGAGTTTGAATATTGTTGGAAACATTTGGGATAATGGAAGTACACAACTCAACATAATATATAATCAATGAGCCACACTAGTTTATTTTGACTCAATCACACATACACTGTCCTGCTGTACGAATACTCGCTAGAGCACCAAATGTGGATTAATCCGCCACAGAAAATAGTCCCTAATGAGTGCATTGCAAATTTCTTCCCCTTTGAGTTCAAAGAGCTGCATTTCCTGTTTGTATCATTATTTCCTTGTTTGGGTTATTTTTTCCATACTGTATAATTCATTTTCTTTTGTGATTGATTTAGGATTAATTTAATTTACTTTTTAGAGTTGAGCCTTGATATGAAGGACGATCACAGTTCTGTATCAGTTACTGTTCAGTAAATGAATGAATCTGTTGAGGAGCAGGTCTTCTAATGTTTGCAGACAATAAAACACCTCTGGCAGCTTCAGTTTCTAAACAGTTGACAGAATATTTTGTATCTATGCTAGCACTGTTCAGATAAAAACAATGGTACATTAGAATTGCACCAACTTACCAAGAGAAGGCTACATTAACTAAATATAGATGACAAGCCATTGCACTGATGTTCACTGTCGTATATGTTTCTGTGGAATACCTTAAAATGTGAGAAACGTGAAGAAACTGTTCACAAAAGACAGAAGGAAATATTAACTTGAAACTGTTGCTGCCTTTTTACACATTTGTTCATTAAGTTATTGTGTAATGTCATTGTCTGAAGAAAATCCTACTGTATTTGTAATAAAGGTTTGGGACTGGATGACAAATACGTTTCAAGCTGTGCTTTTTCAAATAAATACAATTTCATTTGACAGACATTGAACTTATTTATATTTGAAGTCTTACTGTGTTATCACGTCTTACTTTTTTCCTCTGTGTGTCCACTGGAGGGCAACAAACATTCATGATTCCACATGAGCATCAAGGCAGTTAGGACAACTTGATCTCCAGACCAGGAAACTGTTCATTTAGTTTTTCATCAATAATTATGTTATTTGTAATAAACACATTAGTAAGGAATATATTGATATTGATAAAAATTATAATAATGATAATTATACTGACATTAATCACAAATATGTTGTAGTTGTTGCAGTACCACAATGTGACCAGTGGCTGGTGCTGAACATCCATTCATTCACACCTCATTCTGTTTTGTATAGATCTACTAATTCTTAGACAGACAGAGCAAACTGTTTTAAATGAGGAAGGATTGTAGTGGGAGCGCTGGGTGTCAGGTGTGACTGTGTGGCAAATAGTTTTAGGTAGGAGGCCCCAGTTTCCAGCCCAAGCTTCCCCAGATATGCATTCCCTTTTCCCAGATTTACAATACTTTTTTTTTTCCTTATTAAAACCCTGTTTCCTGGAGCACATGCATTTGGACTGGTTGTTGGATGAAAATAACAGGATAATGCAGTGCACATAAAACAGGGTGTAACTGTCCTAGCCACTACAAACAAAACTTTTCTGTATTTGACATTTGAAAATCATATGTTGATTTTGTACCTATTGAATTCTAACTAGTAAAAAACTAGTAAAACCTGAGTTTTAATTTGTAGTCAGCTTGTTTAATCTTTGTGTACAAGACACCAATTGTAAATTTCAATTCAACTTTGTCCAATTTCTGTTTCAATGATGTAAGCTCAATTTGTAATGGCTAATCGCTGATTTACTGTTAAGCTTCCATCCAAAACCTCATATACTGCACAGCTCAAAGTATGGATATGTATGAATTTCACACTCTAATATATTGTGTGGTCTATAAGTGCACCACTTATAGTTGATTAACTCACAGATTGCAAGTAAATAATATCCAATAGAAATAGCTGTTGCAAATAATAACCAAAACTATACAAACACAAACAGACCCAAGTTGTAATAAACCAGAATTAGTCTTGAGTTTAGCCTTAGGCTCCAGCTTTTCCCCTGCTTCTCATTAGCTTGGTGAAATTTCACTTCTCTTCATAGGTGACAGAAAAACACTGCAATAAAAACCGAGGAATAAACACAAGGAACAAGTGCTTCCACAAACACAAGGGGGTATCCGTTTTGACATGTATCCGTATTTTTTTAAGACAAGTTAAAAATATTAGCTGGAATGAGTATCAAGGGAGGAATAACTGCCACATCCCTGACGCACACCAAGCAATAACGCTTCCATTTGATGTGTGTGAGACCGACTTCCTCTGGCTGAGAGCAGTCTTCCTGCTTCAAGACAAAAAGCAGTGACTGCCTTTTACTTTCCAAGCTGATTGAGGAAGAGGAAGAGGCAGAGCAGCCATTCATTCATAATTCATAACCATCAAAAACATTAACAGAACGGACACGATGCACACAAACAGTAGGCAGAAAGTCAATGTGTTCTCCTCATGTCACTGAAAGGCTCTGCATATGAATGAATGTCGTGTTTGCACTACAGTACTTTAAAAACATGGCAACACAGTCCACTGAACAATTTGCATGTGATACAACATCTCAGTATATCGCCAGTTTTACCAAAGTGTCCATGTGAGCCGTGCTAAGGGTGGATAAATTAAAACACAAGTGCCGACAACGCCACCTAGGTTTAACTGAGGCCTAGGACCTCTTAGGATCACCAAATTAAAGTTAGGGTAAACAGGTTCTTTTATGTCGGGGAGAGCAGTAAACAGTGTTATTTTTAAAACAATGAGTACAGCCAGTGGAACACAGTTGAACACAATTTATTTTAAAATAAGTAAAAACAACTAAAAGCTCTACCTTCAAATAAACTAAACAAAGAACACAAACAACTAAAACCCAGCTAAAATAATGTGGCACGGATGGAGTGGGAGGTCAACAACGGCAGTCGCGGGTCTCTGGTGGCGACCACCTGCTCTTCACCTGGCTCCGCTCTTCGGCAGCCTGTCGAGGGAAACTCAGGGCCAGTCAATGTCCTTTAACAAGGCACAACTTTATATATTACACACTACACAAACACCGGTCTGAAACGGGACTTACGCGGGAGGGAGAAGTTTTACCTTCTCCCAATTATAGCCGCTAACGGTCGGTGTTTGCTCCGGTGTCTCTTCAGACCTCTTCCAGTGCGATGATCTGCTCTGTCTCTCTGTCTGCTTCCTGCTGTCCGGCCCGTTGTGACCTCCGTGTCCTCCCTCGTGCCCTCTGTGTCCTCCCTCGTGCCCCCGGGTATCTTCCATAGTGTCCTTTTTATCCAAGAACAGTCACTCCCCTCTCTGGGTGCCAGGTGTAAGTCCTTATGCTTGATTAAGGTATGTCTCCGGTGGGGAAGTAAAACCAACGTAACACAAACACACTTCAAAATAAAAGCATGCAATAATAAATAAGACAAAAACACAGCAAATTCAAAGTAAAAAGCATGCTTAAATAAAATCAAACTTCCCCCCGTGACATCTCCCCACACTTTAAAGTTAGCAGTCCCTGCAACATGTTATGAGTCTCTATAACGGACTGGAGTTTGTCCAAAGTTTACCCTGGTGGAGCATCGTAGGGCACCCTCAGGTTCCACATTCACAGGCGGTATGGCTACCGGTGCTGGAAGGAACCCGTAGATCATGGGCTGGATGGGTCCCTGCATCTGGACAACCGGCTCAGTGGTTGGTAGCGGGACTTCGGTTGGGGGTACTGTACACACCTTAAGTGAGTTCCTATGGATATTTTGTATTCTGCCACCCTTCTCTGGCTGAATCTTGTACACAACCCCTGTATCCCCCACCTGCTCCAACACCACCCATGGCTCTGGGTCCCACCAAGTACACAACTTTCCTGCCCCTCGTCTGTTCCTATCTCGCACCCACACCCTTTCCCCCGGTAAAAGTGGTAACGCTTTGGCCCTCTTGTCATAGTGCTGCTTGTTCTGGGTGGCTGCACTTCTCTATTCTTTGTTTAGCCAGGCTATAAGCTAAGGACAGTTTCTGCTGGTGGTCTTGTACCCACCCACCTACATCGTGCCTCATCTGTTGGGGACCTACACCTAATCCTACATCAACAGGAAGTCGCAGGTGTCGCCCAAACATGAGGAAGGAAGGGGTATACCCAGTCGCACTGTGTGTGGTGTTATTATAGGCGTGTGTCAGTTCGGGCAGATAGTCGGGCCAGTGAAATTGCTTAGACGTCTCTAAAGAGCGGAGCATATTTAACAAGGTCTGATTAAAACGCTCTGCACTGCCATTTCCTGCGGGATGGTAGGGAGTTGTGCGGCTTTTAGTTATACCATAGGTATCACAAAATTGTTTCATAAGTGCAGATTCGAAATTAGGTCCCTGGTCAGAATGGAAACGGGCGGGGCAACCAAATGGTTGGATCACATGGGTCCACAGGGCCTTTACTGTAGTCTGAGCTGTTTGATCTCGAGTGGGAATAGCCCAAGAAAAACGGGTAAACAGATCAGTAGCAACAAGAATGTTCTGGTAGGTGTCTGTGGGCCGACCTAAGGACAAAAAGTCCAACCCCACCACTTCTAAGGGGTAGGATACTGTGAATGGATTTAGGGGGGGCCTTAGGCTCCACCCTATCTCGCTGCAGGTTACAGGCAACACAACCCTGCTGCAACTGACGTACCTCCCTCTCCATATCAGGCCAATAGAACCGCTGACGGATCCGGTTTAGGGGTTCTCTCCACACCAGCATGGGCAGCGGCTTCATGGATCCTCTTCCAAACTTCTT